TCTCTGGGATGCTAAACCTGCGCATGCATATTCTGGGGAAACAAACTGCAGAGAGTCTGGCCCAAATGCCTGCTTAAGGATCACAAAGACAAAGCATTTTCCTCAAACTTTTATTGCCCTGCATTTCCCTCTTATCAGTAGAAAAAGAATTTCAATAATTACAAGGAACTAGAGAAGAATCAGGTACCAAAGTGCTACAATCAGAAGCATTATCAGCACTCCCAAAATAGAAATTCAAAAACTTATTTCTGAAAGTTAGTGGGGACACTAACTGCATTTTCTTCACCACATTTTCATCTTCATATACGGGAAAGTGGGGGAAGAAAATGCAGTTAGTGTCAGAACTGTGAGCCCTAATCAAAACTAGGACTCATGGAGGACCGATAACCTGCCAGTCAATACGGAAAAGAATCTTCAGGTCAGTGGAAAAAAGAACCTTCAAGCAATCAGAGGTATCCCGAGTGGAATGGGCTAAAAGCGGATTCTCAATGAAGTTCTCTGAACCTGGATGACCCAAGTCAAAATTAGAGCATTGCTTCACTGGGTGTTGAAACCACAAATCCTAAGTATGTGCAATGGGACATCTGAAACAGGAATCACTGCAGTTGACAGGGGCCCAGTGGGTCAGTCCACTTATGAACTTCTGAATTACTGGCCTGGAGACTAGTTATAAAACTCCAGAAATGGCCAGGCATGGTGGTACATATCTGCAATCCCATCAGCTCAGCAGGGTGAAATAGGAAGATCGCAATTTCAAAGACAGCTTTAGCAACTTAGCAAGACCCTGTCTCAAAATAAAATATTAAAAGGACTGGGAATGTGGCAGTGGCTAACCATCCCTGGGTTCCATCCCTGGTATCACAGGGAAACAAACGAACAACAAAAGACTAATAGTAAGAAAACAAAGAGAGCAAGCTGTCCACGAAATGCCAACTCCAGGAGTGAACCAGTAGCCAGTAGGGAAATGAATACAGATGGAAGAAGCTTCCTCCTCCCCATTTCAAAGGTGTGATGGTCTCCTATTTTACTTTACTAAGAAACACAACAGCCAGGCCTTTGTCACTGAAACAAAAGAATTATTAAACAATAACCAAGGACTCGCTTGAAGTATAGCATTGCAAACTCATAATCCCTACATTTTTAGCTACTATCATTTCACTAATTGACAGAGTGATTTTTATTTTCTATGTGTAACGCATACAAAGACTGTATACTTTTACTCGATAAATGATTACTTGAGACAATCTTGGGTGTTTTATAGAAAATAAATTTGTAATCAGTGTCTATTACTAGGGCTGCCTATAGTTCACACTGTTATGTGGCTTTGAGACAAAACACAGCTTCTGAAAGAGTTTCAAAATGTGTTTAACAAAACTGGCCCCACACTTTTTAGTAAACCACATTTTTTTGTTTTTTTGGTGGTGCTGGGGATCAAACCCAGGGCCTTGTGCATGCGAGGCAAGCACTCTACCAACTGAGCTATATCCCCAGTCCAACACTTTTTTAATATATTTTCCTTTAGTTGTAGAAGAGCACAATGACTTTATTTTATTTAGTTATTTTTATGTGGTGCTAAGGATCGAACCCAGTGCCTCACGTGTGATAGGCGAGCGCTCTACCTCTGAGCCATAACCCCAGCCCTAAACCACATTTATATGAACAATGTTTTCTCTTGCAGAACTTTAAAGGAGTTTGTAAATTTCTTGAAGGCAGAGTTGGTGTCATACTTCTCTGTTCCCCTTGGGGCCCACTTTCATGGTGGCTCCTACATGAGAGGCTCTTTTTCATGTTATTTGCAGATTGATATATGGCCATTTTGGGTCACCTCAGGAATTTACTTATGATCCCATCTAATCTCCCACTTTTGTCTTGATCCCATAATGTCTGGTGCAGATGAGAATAATGGTGAAATAAAAAAATGTGCAGGGCGCTGTTCTAAAGGTTTCTAAAACTCCAATGCACAATATTTTATTTAAGCCTCACAACCAGCTCAGGTAGACTGGTTGACTTCTTTATCATTATCTTCATCATCCCTAACAGCAGTACTGTAATCAGCTCCAAGTTAAAGAGGAGACCAAAAGAAGAGAGCCTAATGAGACTGCCAAAGATCACTCAGCTCCTACATGGCACAACAAGGATGTGAGCCAGCCACACTGGCTCCACAGTCCATGGGCTTGACCACTTCACTACCATCTCACAGGGAATACCCATTGCCACACCTGTAAAAACCTGAAAAGTTAAAGCAACTAATAAAACATTAGTTCAGATATAGGACAGCAATAATCTCCCTGTAATCATATTGTAATCATCCAACAGAGGATGTCCTTTCTCTTTTTCCACTTTTCCTCCTGAGGGTATTGACCTACGGGTTACTTATAAAGAGAAAGGCACACATACACCAAAAGAGAAAGGGAGAGAGGGAGGGGGAGAGAGAGAGAGAGAGAGAGAGCGAGCAAGCGAACTTCAGGGGATTATTCCAAATAAAAAAAAAATCATTAGCACCTCAATGTGCTCAGCACTGAGAGTGGGTCAATCCAAATAATAAAACATTAAGTAGCCACTGAGGATTATGGTTTTTATGACACACAAAAAAATATTTACTGTGCAAAGAGGAAAAAAGCAACATAGAAAAGTATGATGAGATAGTATGTAATGTCAAGTGCCCACAGCGGTCTCCAGAACATATGTTGTTATGTAGCGAATAATCTAAATATACGAAAACCCTGAGAAAGAGACATGGCAAACTAGCAATGCTTGCCTCTGGGTAAGAATTAAAAGAGTTTTCTTTCCAACAACTTTACAATTTTTAATGTCCTCATTTCTTTGTCCTATAGTAATGATTTTTTCACTTTAAAATCAGGAAATAGAGAGCTGGCATGTAGCTTGGTGGCTCAGCATTTGCCTGGCCTACACAAGGCATGAGTTTCATCGCCAGGACCATTAGGAAAAAAAAAAAAAAAAAAAAAGTCTTCTTTCAGTCTTCACATTGTAGGAGCTGACCTGCAAGAAGAGGGAGATTCCCAACCTACACATATTTTTCTGTCAACAGGGGGTGGCTGTTACCAGCAACTACTAAAGCCTGTCCTAAGGTAAGCCTGGCTACTGGTAGTGCCAGATGGATACACAGACTCCCTGAGTCTAGAACCATGCTGAGAATGTGAGGTGAACATCACCGAGAAGCAGGCACACAGCATTCCACAGGCTGAAGCTTTGTAAGAAATATTCCAAATCTGTGCGCCATGGTTTGTTTTCAATCAAACTGAGAATGTTTTGTGGTAGGAACATCATCAAAGGTGTCATGACTTTCTGTGATTATAAAAGTGTTGACAGATACTAAACAAGTGATATTCAGAAAGTAGTAATTCTTCATGATTAAAGTATTTACACAGTGTACTGTTTGTGATACCCACTAAAGCTAATACCGGCTTTTCTGGAGTTATTCTAGCCTTAAGTGTTCAGGATCCACTTAGTGACAATTATGATTCAAGATGTGGTTCTCTGGACTAAAACCACAGGAATGCTTGAAGGCAGCCAAGTTTTCCAAGTGCAGTGTTTGACTGATTGAGTATTTATTAGCATTCAAATGAGGGAATGATTGGGGCCTGGGTGATTCCTGCCCCCATCCAAGCTTTAGGCTGGGAGCCCATTTCTCCTTTTCCTGTCCCAACAGGCCTATCCCTGACAGAGCCCAGACAGATGTAAAAGATAATACATAGAAGGGTGGCTGTGGGGACTTAACAAACCAAAAACCTTTTAAAAGAATGCTTGCAATCACTGCTCCAGGATGAAGAAAATGTACCCTATATTCAAAGATCTTCAAAGTCTATACTAAAAAGTCATAAAGATGAAAGGAAACTGCAGAAGATAATATTTAGGGCACATTTTTCTTGTAAAATACCTTTTACCTTCTTATAACGAAAAACACTGCTAGTCCAGACCTTAAATGCTAAGGGCACTCATAGACTTTGACAGAAGTCTCAGATACTTAGAAAGTTTCAGAACAAATCTTTCATCAGACTTATTTATTTATTTATATATTTATTTTCATTGAGCCTCCAAAAACAGTATCATGAAATTCTTAGCTTTGAAGCATTCAATTTCACTGAACTCACTTCACCTATAAAAGTCAATGACCCCAGTTAGGGCAGGCCTAGCAGCTTGTGGAAGGAGCTATGCAATTGAGTCCAAAGACAGGAAAACTTGAGGGTTTCAGCAATTATTAATCATATGGAAGTTCTTTTAATTCAACAATAATTGATATAAGCCTAAAGTGCTAAATATTTGATTTTTGTAGCTTGAAACTTATTAAAGTCAATTATTTAACTAGTCCTTTTTTTTTTTTTAATGACACAGCAGTAGAAAGTATTTTGGAACAAATTTTAGAAAAGTATGTTCAGCTCAGCAAGATGTTTTTATGGAAGCAAGAAATGGAGAAGACATGATCTTTCATAGGCACTACTTTCATTATTTTCAAGCCACTTTTAACATATGCTATGCACATCTCCGTGTATGTGTGTTCATCATCTAGGTGAGTGTCTGGGCTCTCCTAAAAGAGAAAAATGGTAAACATGCATTTCACTGATCTTTTCAGTCAACCTCAAAGAATGATCCTCTATACTCTGCATAAGAATTAACAAGTAGCCAATTCAGAAACTCAGCTTCAAAATTCAAAAGATCATTTTTTAAAAACTAGCTGCAAGGATAGGTATTAATAAAATTAAGGATTAAGCTAAAACATTTAAATGTATCTTTTAGAAAATATAATCGTTTTACTAAAAATAAATGATCACAAACCTCATAACAATTGTATCAATATTGTCCCTACAATATTACAATTAGAAATTTCTCAACAAGTATTAGAAAGAAAAAAAATTAATATATGAAACCCTGAAGGTAACAGAATTATTTTATTATACTTTTGTACTAGAAAATCATGAATGATTATCTATCCAGTAAAATTGCCTCCAAGCCACATAACTAATTTTTCTCAACATTTTTTAAAAAATAAGGAATGCTTCAAAAATCTGTTTCATCCTTGGGCAGGGACCATGCTGATCTCTGTAGTGTTCCAGTTTTAGTCTCTGTGCTGCCAAAGTGAGCACATCTGCAGCATTTTATCTAATTTATTTCAGCAGAGATAAATACAAGCCTTTTTTAATTGTACACTTTTTTGTACAAAGTACAGGCTTAAAGTTAAATTTCAAAAAGTTCAAAATGAATAAATGAATGAATAAAAGGTTTTCTAAAAGACCCTGCTATTCCAATATACTAGGAATAAAGAAACATAAAACTAAAAATCATGAATGATCAAGAAGAAATGAATCATGACAGGCATGGTGGCACACACCTACAGTCCTAGCAACTCAGGAGACTGAAGCAGGAGGATTGCAAGTTCAAAGACAGCCTCAATAACATAGCAAGACCCTATTTCAAAATTAAAAAATAAAAAGGTGTAGGGATATAGCTCAGTGATACAATACCTCTGGACTCAATACCCATCCCCCCCAAAAAATAAAAAAGAATTGAACCATAACAAATACATAGGTGTGAACTCAGATAAGACTTATATTGTCCTATGTTTTGAGGATGACTCTTGTACAACAAACTTAAAATTACAAATTCTTTTTTTTTTTTTTACTAGCAGGCAAAGCTTTTTTAAAAATGGTAATCTACCTATAAAATAAATCATTGGAGATGCTGTTTTTAAAAAAAGTTCTCTGATGCGGTGGCACACACCTGTGATCCCAGCAGAAGGGAAGCTGAGACAGGAGGCTTCAAGGAAGAAGAGCCCAGACATTCACCTAGATGATGAACACACATACACATAAATAGGAAGCAAGACCCTAATTAACTTAGCAAGACCCTATCTCTAAATAAAATAAAATTAAATTTAAAAAGGGCTGGGGATGTAGCTCAGTGGCTAAGCACCCCTAGATTCAATCCCCAGTAGACCCCCCCTCACAAAAAGTCTTCTGAATACCTACTTCAACATTACACATAAGTATCTGCCTGTTTACAATAATATAGAAAAGAAATTAAGTTATGAGCCTTAACATTACAATAAAGCCAAGCTATGTTTTCATTCAGATTTCCCAGGGTTATCAACAGGAATGCTGTATGTGGTATAGGTAACTTTTCTAAGTAAATGCCTGAACTCACCTAACAAAGATAAATGGAAAGCAAATGGAAGGAAGCAGGTGGATTTGAGGTAGGGAATAACAGAGAGAGAGGTGAGGCAAATCTTGTGGACTGATGTCTGGTTCCTGTTAATAAAGGGCAGAACAATAGCTCACCTGTCCCTATATAAGAAAAATTAAGCAAATCATCAAGGCAATTTTTGGATAATTAATTTCAGAAAATTAATTATCTGGACCTAAAAGATTCCAGATCACTGATGAGAAGATGAATTCTTGAATTGTCATAATAGTGCCATACTATTAGTTTTACTTTCTTGGCTATCAACTAATCAGATAGCTATTCTATGCCTTCCTAAGTATTTCCAAGTCTCCATCTTGTTCATAGCTTTTCCACTACCTGAGCTGAAAGACTCTCCTTTTCAAGGAATAATGCAAAGCAACTCTTGGATACAGAGTGGTCAACTTTAGAATTGGATCCCTAATGTACCATAACAGTTTTGGAAGCATCAAAATAAATACAAGAAGCAATCTTCAGGATACCACAAAATTGCTAATTTAACAAGACGTCCTAAGTAAAGATTTTTTTCACCATATAGTAACAAATGCAAACACATAGAAATGGACAATATAGTTCAAAACAATCTAAGTAAAGGTGCTCTTATTCTTGGAAATCAGAACCAAGGATCACAAGAATATAGATCATTTCTTTACGTTCTTTTTTTTCTTTTTCTTAACCACTGAGCCATATCCCCACTCATTTATTTTTTTATTTTGAGACAAGGTCTTGCTAAATTGTTCAGGGGCTCCCTAAGTTGCTACGGCTGGCTTCAAACTTGCGAACCTCCTACCTCAGCCTCCTGTGCCACTGGCCTATACATCATTTCTTGAAAGATACATGAAAGATCAAATCAAAGTTCCCATACAACTTTTTTATTATTTTCAAGGATCACAACATAGACCACATTTTCCTTTCTATTCATTTTCTGGCTTTTTGCTCTTAACCTACCACATATGATCCCAGTGATTTCTAAAATTTACTGGATGACACACTGAATTCCTCACACTTAAGACTTTTTAATCTTAAAAATATTAAGAACTGTGAGTCTCCAAAGTAGGTGGCAACAATATAACAAGTATAGCATGGACACAGTATTTTCCTAGACAGCTGACCCAAGCCATACTTGCTGTAATGCTAATAATGACTAAATGAAACTCTGGCCTATTCTGTTCTGTGGCCATAGGCTGCACTAATTGTCAGCAATATTTCTGGAAGATGCATGCAGCACATCACAGGTGAATTTAAGGGAGCAATTCAAAGCAATTCTCATTACAGGAAAAGTAATGACCTAGTACTATGCCTTCATTTGAAAAGTCTCATCAGCCTTATATTGCTATCTTTTGAATAAAATACTAATATAACATTATAATGCTCTTTCTAGCTCTTGAATCCTGAAATTGTACATTCTGTTACTTTCCAAACCTCATATATAAGAAAGGATATATAGATGAGCAACTCCTTTTAAATTCTTGCCATTTTTTCCTTTGGTAAAATCAAATTTGTGAATAAAAAGTTTTCCCTCTGCAAGGACAAAATTTAACTCTAGAAATTTCTATCTCCTAACTTTATAATACAGACTACGAATATAAAAACAATAAACTCTTTATAACCATCACCACAGTAAAAAAGAGAGCAGAAAGTCAGAAAAAGTACAAAGCACTGAAAGGCTGGATGTGTGAAGGATGCCAGGAGAGGGGGGAGGGTTTCATGAGGTTCTAGGCAAGCCCTCTGATGACGTCACCTCACATACATAATGTTACAGCAGTCAGCACAGGCCTCCTGCTTTCTTATTGGAGAACACTGTGTCAGCCGACATCAGAAGATAATCATCATTGGCTAGACAATTACAACCGGAGCAACTAGCATCCACTGTTGTTAGCACAAACCTGGCAGGCTGCTGAAAGAGGAGAAAGCAGAGCCTGGCTTTCCCTCTCACTCAATGAATTTTATGTTGCCTTACCAATCTTTTCCCTTGCTAGCAGCACTTACAAATCAAGTCAGCTATTAGTGAGAATAACAGGTAAAGGCCAGACATCTCATAAAAGAACAACGTGTCTCTATTTTCAATGCTGTAAAATCACAAGGGCTTTTCAGTGTAAAATTGGAACTCAAAAACACTACTTGGAGCTAAAAGCAGGCAATTTCCTCTACCTCATGTAAGAAACTCTCACCCAGATAATATTACTCAAGATATTTTTAACTGGACATGTAGTTTTAGGATGTGCCTCAGGATGATTCTCCAGGGATATACTTATTACTTCCCATTTTTTGCTAATTTATTATATATGAAACTATTTGATACCAAAACAAATTTTTTTGTATGTAGTGCTGAAGATCAAACCCAGTGCCTCACACATGTGAGGCCATCACTCAGCCACTGAGCTACAACCCCAGCCCCTGATACAAAAATGTTTAAAACCTACAGTATTCACTTCATGTCTAGGCCAATGAATATCAGTTTAAACATTAAAGCAATAAACTTGATAGACTTGTGTCAGTCCAACCCTTTAAAATATATAAAAACACCACTTCAGAAATAGGGCCCCATTCCCTGAATGTTTGCTAAGTTAGCAGGTCGGAATTATAGAGTGTATTTAACAAATTCTTACTCTAGATTCTCTTGAATGATGCTAGTTAGCTCAGCCAAAATACAGGCAAAGCACCATTCCTGGCCCTTCTCACAATTCTTCAAAAGCCTGTTGAGCTCATTTATGACAGAAACATTCTAATTCCCTAAATTAGTAAATTTTGTTTGAGGCTATGTCTAAGATTTTTAATGACAATTACAAATAAATTCTCAAAAGACAAGGTAGTGGGATTAAGGTTGTGGCTGAGGGGTAGAGAGCTCACCTAGCACATGGGGGGTGCTGGGTTAGATCCTCAACACCACATAAAATAAAGGTATTGTGTCCAACTACAACTAAAAAACAAAATATTTAAAAAAAAAAAAAAAAAAGACAGGGTAGAAGCTTCTCTTCATGGTGTTTTTCTTCCAGAAGTTATTTTAAACCATTTTAAGAGAATGGGTCTGAGAAAGTTAAGACTCTGTAGTTTCCTAAAATTTCCCCCTCCCCAAAAGGGTCTATGCCCTTCTGTTAACAAAGGAAATTCTTTTTTAAAAATCTTAATTTTTTTCTTATACACCTATCTGAAGATTTTGTGGCTGTTTTGGAGGGGTAAAGACAGTTCTAAAATTGGATCACCAGGATAATGGGAGAAATGCACTGGGGTAAAAGAAGAAAGCAAGACAATTAGTGTCAAGAAGAGTTACAAGAAAGGTATAACTGCCAGCAGGGCTCTTGGACTGTAATATGCAATTCACGAACATAAAATTAACAAACAAGGCAGCAGGAAGGGAAAAATCACAAACTGATTATAACATGGATTGAAAATGCAAGGGAAGGACAAGCATGTTAAATCTTGGATATATTTTAATTTAAATCACTGGATAAGCATTTCCCAGGCATCTATCAGGTGCTTTGAAACATCAAAAATGGAATAAAGATTGTACCCTAAAGATCTGATGGTCTGGTAGAGGGCAGGCAAATATCCACGTATATAAATTTATAATTGCCAGGAAAAGATATTGCCAGAAGACAGATAAAGAGCCAGGAGGAAACAGTGGTAAGGGCTTCACAGGCAAACAGATTGGTGCATTTTTGCTATTTTCAGTCCTGTGAGTACTAATTCAGCGAACGCAGAGAAGAGGCGGGAAATGGTCCTGGGACCGGCATAGGAAGTGGCCTTAGAGAAAAAGCAACAAACAAATAAGAGGCAGTATCGACCGCGGTGGTATAAGAAAGGGCTAACAGTGAATGGAATCAGCGCAGGGCAAGGGGAAGCCGACTCCGGAAAGGGCAGATCCAACCAGGAGGCACCCAGTCATGGGCACAGCAAACATTAAAAAATGTAGAGCACACGGGGCTACTGGAGAAGAACACAAGTAGTGCAGCAAGAAAATATACGAAAAACGGCTGCAGAGAAGACCTGAGCCCTAAGCCGGCCAGGAGCTCTCTCCCGCCGTCCGCCGGCTTGGGTCACCGCCCCCTCCCTGCCTTCAGCGCCACCCTCTAAGCCGGAGGAGGAAGTGCAACTAAGGAAGCACCCAGGTGGCGGGGCACGAGGGGGCTCGGCTTCCCCGAAATGCCCCGGTCTTCTAACATCTAATCTCCAACGACAGCCGGAGTCGCGGTATACAACCACCTTCGGACCCAGCCCCGGGGATCTCTACCTTGGTGGCCTGGGAAGGCACCTAGCCCCCCAACCCGTGCCTGCTGCATTTCCCGTCCTTCTTAGCAGCTCGCGCTCCACTAGTAAAATACAGTGTGACCGGACGCAGCCCTGGGGCCTTCGGCCCACGGCGCCCACCAGCCACGCCGCAGCCCGCTGCAGCCCGAGTGAGCACGCGGCGTCCGCCCCCGGGCAGGCCCAGCCCTGCTGGCGCGCGCGGGCAGGGGGAAGGCTCCGCCCGGATGTGACCGCAAATGGCCAGTGGGCCGGTGGCCGACGGGTTGAAAACTAAGGCTGCACGCCTGCCCGGAGGTGAGAGGAGAGTAGCAGCCGTGCCTTCAGACTCCGATTTGCGACTCCGGGGGACTGAGTGAGAATAAGTTGAACCCCTTACCCCAGGCAGTGGCCCGCGGCACCCCTTCCTACTGCACCAGCCCGCCCCTGCCCGGAGCGCGCCAGCGTCTCCAGTTTCCCATTGATGAGCGGAGGGAGGGAAGGCAGATTCCGCACGCGGCGGCGGAATCTCCAGAGCCCCGGGTCCCCTAGGGTAGGATCCTCCACTATCAAGCCCCAGGAGGCGGCCGGCCACTGCCCAGCTACGGGGAACGTTTTGCTTGCACTTTACAGAAAGCCAGACCCGGGATTAAGGGAAGGAGGGAAACGTCTGCCACAGCTCAGTCTAAGAGGAAGAAGCAAGCTGAGTTCAACCTCCCCTGTTAAATATTGCAAGGTGACACAGGATCGCCTCCCACACAGGGATTTTCAAAAGGACTAGGGGAGGAAACACAGTAAACAGGAAAGATGTTTTCCCGAGGTGAAGTTTTTCGGTGTAAGATCTCCCAAGGACTCTTCAGACCGAGGGGTTTCTAATCTGTGTGCCTGAACTCCAAACAGCAGCTTCGCACTGAATTAGAAGTGAGTGTGTCCAAAAGGCGTTTCCGTAAAACAGAAACTTAATAATGGCGTGGCTCCACTCGTTCGGGTTCATTCATTTTTATTACAGTTTTCATTGTCCCCTCCTCTCCGCCCCTCCACCCCCAGTCTCTTTCTGAAACCGGAAAGGGATCCGCGTGGGGAAAGGGGTCCTAGAAAGGAGGCATCCGGCTGGGGAGCGGCAGACAGAGGAGAGCAGTGAAGTAGAAGAGCTGCAAGGAGAAAGGAAGGACACCAGGGATGGGGAGAAAGCAAGGACCAGAGCCGAGGGCGGCGGGCGGGAGAGGGTTAAAGAGAGCCAGCGATAGGGTCCTCCCTCCATGGCTTTGCACAGTTCGGTTGCGAGAGGCCAAGCAGAAAAAAAAAGAAAAAAAAAAAATCCCAAATCTAGATAAAAGCCAGGAGGTAGCACAGGTGGGGAATCCGGACTGTGGCATCTCTCTTGCCTTCCCTGTCGCGCAGACATCACTCCTGGCACACATATATGTTCTATGTTATATAATCTATATAAAGATGCCTGCTTAGTCGCGGTTCACACAGGGCACCCACCGACCTCGCGCTCATGCAGCCCCAGTGTCTCCTAGACCTAGGAACTCCGCGTTTGGCTAGCTGCTGCTCGCGATTCACCGCTCCATTCACGCCCAGACAGGGAAATACCGACATTAATGCACTCCAGGGAGACGCACAGGGCTCCCGGGAACAGTATCACGCGAAAGCATCACCTACCAGTTTTCCTGCATCCATTGGATCGCTTCATTCTCGTTGAACTGCTTTTCGAATTCATATTCTTGTAAAGTCAACACTGACATGTTCATTGGGGCTGATCTTCGGAGTCCCTACGTGTTCTCTACACAAAATAAAATAATCTGTAAAGCGCTTGATTTCGAGTGCTCTCCTGTCTGCTTCCCCCACCCACCCCCCTAGGTCTTCCCCGGCCTCTCAGTCTCCGGCAGTCGATCTCTCTCCCAGCCTCTCACAGCTACATCCAGGGTTGAGCATTGCCTGTGCCACGGCTCCCCGGTCCTCGCTCTGGGGTTCTCCTCCTCCCGGCGTCCGCATCCACCGTAGGAGGAAATGAATGCCTTGCGGTCTTAGTGCCCGCACGTTTGTCCATCACGCTTTTTACTCGTCTACAGGGAAATCTCCTCCCCCTCATGCGATCGGAAAATTAACCCCTTGCCAGGGAGGGCGCGAAAGAGCGAGACCTCTCCCCGCCCAGGGGGGCAGTTTTGTTTACGTGAAGGTGGTTGGAGGAGTGGGGGAAGGGCACGGAAAGGGAGGAAGTGCCCTGGAGGTCACCCACAAACCTCAGTCCGAACCTCGTGGGCCTTTTCGCCCTCCCTGTAAATGAAGTTTCGCCGTGCGGAGCTCAGCCCGGAGGCGCGTGGACCCACGAGCCTGGAGAGTAAACAATTGGGAAATAGTAAAACCTGCCAGCTCGCTCTTGCAGGAGATCTCCAGGCTGCTCTCAAATCGCACGTGAAGGGAAGGCGGTCTACCTCCGCGACCCCGCTGGACCCTCCGGAACCTCCCCCAGCCCCACCCGGGAGCTCTGGCTTTGACTCACGTTTTCCAGGGGCCGGCTGGCCCGCAGAGCTCTTCAATCGCGTGCAGACAGGGGATGCTGAGGATGAGGACGGTCGAAAGTCAAAGGAGACTAGGAGCCGGAAGTGGGAGGAAGAGCAGAGGGGCATAGGTGGAGGTTTGGGTTAGGGGAGAGGGATAATTAACGAACAGAGGCAAAGGAGGAAAGGAACTTAGCATATAGAACTGGACCAACTGGTCCAATGCAAAAACTTTATTTGTATGCATGAGTAATTTTGCTTTATTTATTATACATGTAGGTAGAACAGAAGAATAATGCTTGAGGAGAGGGCTGAATGTAATGTTGACCACAGCTGAACCCCGCATCCTCATTTTAACCTCAACTTCCACACACACTCCCCTTTCTTTTCCTGGAGAGAATAATATTTTCTGCTTCCTAGGTCCCTTCATTCATTTCCCAACAAAAGTTGGGGGAAATGAAATATGAGACACGGAAGTGTAATAATCTAATATTTGGATGTAATAGTAAACAAAAATAAGGAGTAATCAGCAACCCATGCATTTAACCTTAGGTACACATTAGGACCAAGGAACACAATTTCTTTTCTCTGGTGTCCATTTACCCCACTTACCAAGTAGGCTGAAGAGGGGGTATTTTATTTAAATTTAGGTGCCCCTAATCTCTGAAAAGTGGGAACTGAGATAAATATCTCTGTAAGAGGAAGGTAGAAGAAATTAAAGAAAGAGACAGGGTTAAAAAATTTCAATATGATGTTACATAAATCAAGGGCTAGACTTGATGATTAGCATATTAATATATAAATTGACAAACCTAAAGATCCACTTACAGACTTTATCTCTGGAGTTAAGACCCAGACCAAAACACTTGGCAAAATTAGGCTCAAAGGTGGGTGTGGTCAGATGAAAGATAAAGATTTTAGTATAGTGCCTGGGCCTACAAGCAATCAATCAATATTGTGAGGTGAATAGATGATTGATTAAATAAATGAAAGAAATTAGGGAAATAAAAAAGGAATCGAGACTTAGAAAATCCAGGAAAGGCCTTATTGTATGTTGCAAGGAAAGAATTCCTTTTGTCTAAGAAGAGTTCAGTTTTTAAATTCATTATTCTTACTAGTCATCATATAAATTTCCAAGTAATTTGAGAAATTCACATTTGTTTACTATAGTCCTTATTCATATAATGTCTTTTGCTTATGTTCTAAAAATGGATTTGGGATTTATGTTTAAATTATCTGAATTGGTCTTACCTATGTTAGAAAGAAAAAATTGTTCCAAAATGAGAGATAAGTTCCTATCTTGACCTTTCAAGAGGACAGTTCTAAAAAATGGTAAATGCTTGATAGAATGAAGAAATTATTCACAACAGGCATGGTTATTGATGGTGAAAACTGGTGCTTTCTCTGCACAGCAGTTTGGCAGCTTATATGACAATTTTAATCCACACCATTTTAATTTTCCAGATATTACTTGAGCATATATACTCATCTGAATTCTTGCAACTTAGTAGAGAATAAGAAAGATAGGGCTCCTGCTGACTTGAGGCTCACATTCCAGAGGAGAAGAAAGAGCAATTCTTAAAACAGTGGAATGCTGACATTACCATGAAGCTCCAAGAGTGTTCACACCAACCTGGAAGGCCTTACTGAGGAAGTGACTTTGAGTTGAGACCTTACTGACATAGAGCAGCTACCTCTTGAAGTGTGTTACAAAGAAGAAAAAACATATACAAAGACCCTGAGGTAAAGAATGAGCTTGCAGGATTCAGGACAAAGGCTGGGGTGATAATCAAAGTGGAAAATTAGTTGGTGGGTGAGTTGGCAGGGATCAGGTGTTAACCCCAAGTAAACCACAATAAGGTATTTGGATTTTATTCTAATTGCAATGGGTGTGTGGATGGAGGTGTCAGATTAAAGGGTGTTAAAATAAGAAACAGCATGATAATTTTCAGTAATTTCACTGCTAGGAATTTACAGATATATTTAAGAAACATTCTAGACACAGTAATATGCACAAGATATTGCACTATTTGTAATATCAAAACACAGGAAGTAATAGAGAACTGATTAAACAAATGGTGGCAGACCTTGATCATGGAATATTATGAAATCTTTTTAAAAAATGATTCTATATTGGGGCTGGAGATGTGGCTCAAGCGGTAGGGTGCTCACCTGGCATGCGTGTGGCCGGGGTTCGATCCTCAGCACCACATACAAACAAAGATGTTGTGTCTGCCGAATACTAAAAAATAAATATTAAAAAATATTCTCTCTCTCTCTCTCTCTCTCTCTCTCTTTAAAAAAAAATGATTCTATAAGTTGCAACATTGAAAGAGCTTCCTGAAATATGTTTAAGGAAAATTAAAAAGCAAGGTACAAGGCATTGCATATGGTACTACATTAAGAAAAAACATCTATGTTGTACATATATATTTTTTTCTGAAAAGAGAGGAGTTTGTTGGTGACTTATATATTCAGGGAAATAGCAAATTAAGGGGAATTTTTAACTAACTTTTCACACTGTTTGCATTTCTGTGATATTTGAATTTTCTTACTATGAACTTGTATTTTATTTTTTTAAAAGTCAACAGGAGTTAGCAATAAGATAGCAGGTCATTTTTCTATTTAATTTTTTTATATTAAAAAGAATAACATGTAATGTAATGTTATAAGTAAAATACTTTAAAATGGTAATTTTTCTAGACTGATTTTAAATTACAAGACATACTCTAAGGTTAGGAAAGATGGAAGGGAATGTTGGGAGAGAGCCCAGCGGCACCACTAAGAATTTTTATGAAAAGATTTTTTGTGTGTGTTTGTAAGCCATAACCAGATAGGTAGCTAATATTGAATATAAATAACTGGGACTCAAAAAAATAACAGTTAATTTATATTTAGTATTTAAAAAATTTAAAGGTAGGCCAGAGAAGAAGGAGCATTTCATAAAACCAGAAAGATTTACTGCAGAGATGACTACTGAACCAATGATCCAGATTTCAGACCTTGCTATGAGACCTCAGGGAAAGTAGATTCATCCTTTAATCTCCTTTTCTACATATAAAATAACAATATTTGACCTAATGATTTTGATAGCAGCTCAGGATATCTCTAGCATATGAATATGTTAAAATATACACACATTGTTTCTGGGGGCCTTTTCACCCTAACTTGCTTTTCTAGAACTCTTTTCATAGGGAAACTCCAACCAACGTGCACCACTTGACATCGCTAAACATGTTAAGCTTTGCCCCATTCAGTGCTTTACTTCAGTAGAACCCTTTGCTTGGAATACTTTTCCCTCCCAATCTAACTCCCATTTCTGCCTATTAAGTTCAGTCCACTTTTGGAGTACTGATATACTACCCCACATTTGAGGCCTTTTCTGTTCACAAAGGCTTTTCTCTCTATTGCCTCCAACACTCTTAAAGTTTTTGTTATCATGACTCTGATAGACCTTAGTTCAGTCCTGCAGGGTCTTGCCCTAGCTCATCCTTTCCCCTATAGAAGATTATAAATTTTCTTAAGCACAGAGACGATGACTACTGATTTATTAGTTTCTTAGAACTTCCATGACAAATTACTACCATTACCCTAAATGAGAGCAGAGAGATTCTCCAAAAATAATGAGTTTATTCCAGAAAGAGCAGGACATGTGTACTATGCATGCCATAGTAAACTTTGGGTGTATTCAGAAGGCAAAAGTTTTTAAAGACAAAGATTTTTAGAGGTAAAGGGAGGAGGATTGCATAAATTGTTTTGAAACCACCATCTTTGGTTACAAGGATCAATAATGAGGGTGGCGTTCGTCCAAGGTTGGGCAGGCTGCTGCTGGGCAGAGGTCCTCACAGATGTATTTCTTGTGTGAGGTTGCTGTGGTCTTGAGGCAAGGTCATGGTCAGCAAATCTCCTGTGCTACTTCTTGTAATCAGACATGAGATCCCCTCCTTTGTGACTTCCCAGCTTTACTTATTTATTCTTGTTAGGATTTGACACAAGTGACTCCATTTTGATTCTGACAACTTTCACACCAAAAACTTGGCAGCCAAAAATGATTAGAATTTTACGTTCTGATCATTCTGGAAGCTAGAAGTCTCAGATCAAGGTGCCAGCAGGATTGGTTCCTTCTGGAGGCTCTGAGGGGGAAAAAAAAAAAAAATATCTTGCCATTTCTTTCTTTGGTTTCTGTCAACCCTTGGCATTCCTTGGCTCATAGACATGTCACTTCAGTCTTCAGTCTGTCTCCATTTTCATATCACCTTCTCTGTGTCCTTTTTTCCCTCTCTCTCTCTTTTTTTTTTTTAATTTGTTCTAATT